GAATTTTCATCATGGATATCGGTAGCCCAAATTTTGCAGGTAGATAGCTCTGTCTTATTCCAATCTTCACTAAAGATGGCACCGCGAAGTTTTCCGTTGTAGACATGCGACATCGTCATATGGCTGTTTAATGAGGTCGATAAAGGTCGGGATTACTGTGTAGTTCTGTATCAGTTTCCAAATCACTTCACAGCCAACGCGTTGAGGTCCTTTTCCTAGTCGGTGAACTTGAGGTAGGGATCTGACTGCCATTCCGTGCTGTATTTAGTCGTGATGCGCAGAGCTCGGTTTGATCGGAGCATGATTTGCTTTCCCAAATCCAACTTGTCTAGGGTGGAGTTTTGCATTCACAGCATCTTTCAATCCATTGCGGATGATGCCTCTTAGTATTTTACTTTCGACAGACAGCAGCTTGATTCCAAGCCAGCTTTCGTAAGGGCTTAGTTAGAACTTCTCTGGCTGTTTGACAGAGTAGCTTCTTCAACCGCTGGTTACCTTCCTTGCTTTCCGAATCTTCCACTTTGCCTTCTGGATCCATTTTCAGCGATTCTCTGGGAATTCCGTCCGACCCAAAATCCCTTCTAACCTTCACTATATTTATGCCTTAAAGCCTACTGTTTTTGTGGGGTTGGTATTTACTAGCTGTTTTTCGTCCACTAGTAACATTTCTGGATAACCCGCAAGTGACGATTAATTCAACAGTCTTTTGAATAGATCAGCCGAGCATTTCCTCTTTTCCGCCCTTGATAATTGGGACCCTTTCAATACCTTCCACTAGACTCAATCACGTTGACGTCACTTGATAGTGCTCTAAGATTCTCCCAATATGCGACCTGCTCTACTTCACTTTCCAGAGAGTCAAATGGTGCATTTTGTCTTTTTAGCACTATTCTCCATTTCTTTGTTCAAAGCATTGTAGATGGTTCTCAGCTTCCCCTTCTACTGTCAACACTTTTGCTGGTTCATCATCAACTTCACCTCTCTTATCTTTCAGATTCCAGGCATTTATAGTGAGTTGTCCCTCTTCTTGTTGCTGGAGATGTCTGTAAACGTTTCCTTCAGCACCACTTTCACGGAATTTCAGTGTCGTTCCGCACAAGTTTCCTCTATGCTGCTGGATGAAGTATCGAACTTTTCTCTGTCGGTTTCAGCGGAGGTGTCCAATGTAGTTTCATCTTTCAGGTTCTGATCAGCGAACTAGGATTTTAATTTATCTCTAGTTCCTTTAACGGTTTTCGGCTTGAACTTGGGCGTTACCTGCCGTATATGGTGGTTTGAACATACACATGCTTCATTTCTCAATATTGCATCCAGTAGGGTGGTTTTCCAATTCCTTAAGATTGAAATAGAGTCTGCCTGCCTTTGTTGTATCCATCTGGCATTCCTTAGTTTATATTCTCATACCTGTACAATCATCTTCCAATCACCCACTGATTTAACACTCAGATTTCTAATAAGGCTTCTTTCTCTTTCATTTTGACAGCAGTCTCTCAAAATATGATGAGTACTGTCTCTCCCATTTTGGCATTCACATTGCCCATTCGGACCTTAATGGCGACACCTTTGATCCTGCTCATGCTGTTATCCTTTTTCCGCAACGGTCTTCTTTCTCCGCTCGCCTTATGTTGCTTTTAGGAGCACGGCAATGCATAACTGTGACTTTCTTGCCCTTGGGATAAATCTTCCTGTTGTTATCCTGAAGGAGATTCGATTCAACTCCTGAAATTCCTTGGTGTTGTGGATGAAATCATGGTAGCCACACATCCATCATGTTTGTGGTTGTCGTCCTGGTAGCTGGAACATATTAGTGGTTCTTCAGTTAATTATCCAGGGGATCTAATTCCATCCCGTCTGCCCTCACAAATTCCGTAAATGCTATAGAAAAATTTCCCGTTTTGGAATGTGAGTCACCTCGCTGGCATGCCTAAAGCTTCCTGCAAGCATTTTGTGTCATGTGCCTACCTGCGGTTTGATCGAAAGACAACACAGTCGGAGTAGCTTCTCGAAGGCTTACGCAGGCCTTATGATTTAGCTCCGACAATTCCAGCGAAGATGAGTTTATTTTTAGAAATTTTTCAGTGGTTTAGAGCTTTTATGACGATTGCATCGATCTCCCAGGATAGCATCAAAGTTTGACGGCCAGCCTTCTTTCTTTTTCCACGCTTATAACCAGTTAGTGACCTAGTGGATCAGGCAGCTAGGCGAAATTGCCGTCTGTATAAATCACGAATACCCTACCTTCTGACATGTCATAAATGTGTTCAGAAGCTATGTTGCGAATAAATCTCAGTGAGCAATCGAATAACGTGCTACAGTGGAGGAAAGAAATCTGAGAAGAGCACCATCAATCTGCTAATATTTCCGAATGCCTGAATCACATCTGTGTATATGATGCCTACGCTATACTTCTGAAGATGGTTTTGCTTCGGAGCGTGTCTCTGTGAAATCGAATTAGGCTAGTTTTGTTTGCTGATATCCTCACCTGCACCTACGCAAATCTTTTGCTCTTTGTGGATTGTAAAATAACTGAAGTGAGGAAAGCTCTGGGCTGTGCCAGTGAACCGGAAGAAAGATGGCGCCTAGCAATACTCACCGTTATATACCACTGGATAATTTGTGTGAACAGAGGAGAATCATTCACTTCAAACGATGGTTGTCCCTGACCGGAATGACATTATCTTAGCACCGGACAACAGCATCGCTCGTTAGAGGCCAGGCTCATAAGCGTCAAATCCTTTTAGAATCAGGGTTAACATATCGTATTATGAACGTTTTTGGCCCGCAAAGGAAACTGTGATGGTTTCGTTTTTCAATCTGTGTAACTTGCAAGTGATGAATCTGATTCACTTCCCTTATCACTTTTCACCGATGGAACTCCTTGACCATCAACGGTGTACTGACGTAACTCAGTGGTTTCACCCGCCGCAGAACAAATGCTAGGTGAGTATCCTTGTCATTTTCTTTTCATTTGCATGACATAGTCGTAAAAACTGTTTACATTCCAGCTGGTAAGCGTTATGTCTTCTCTTTAAGATTTAATGATTTACAGTCCAAGCGTGCAGCCATTTGTCAGGGTGGAGAGATTGATAACGGAGGCTTCGTTTATCCGATCAGCTGCAAACACGTTCAATAGGAATGACATCTTGAGAATTCTAATACCCCTACGAAAAATAGGAGAGAACAAAGAAAACTATAAAACGAAAGTTTCGAAGCCGTGTGATTATAATTGATATGATTATGAACGGTTAATTGTTTTCAAAACATTTTCATCCAGTAAATAATACCATCTCACTGTATGATATATCTAATAAACTAACTAATATGGAATATGTTTCACGCCCGTAAAAATGGCTTCTTTCGGTTCAAGAAAACTAATTGATATTATTATAGGGTGTCCGATGGATGTGACTCAGGGAAAACTGGCTAACTTTTAGAGGACCATACTGAAACTGTTCTGGAATTCTCTATCGAAGCAGAAAGTCTCGTTGATTGCCTGGTAACCACGGTGACGAAGCGAATCGCAAACCACAAATCATGCGTGCCTAGCAATGCATGTAGCAGCTAACTTAAATGCTAGTCGCCACATAGTCAGATCTGTGAGAAAATATGCTAGTATAGTAAGCCTTGTGTCTAATAGCAAGGAAGAATAAGATTATAGGTTTCCAGACCGTAGGTGTTACGAAATTCCTGAATAATTTGAGCGCCGAGTCAGATTGATTCATTATAAATTATTTAAATTAATCCCAGAGTGTTAAAAAAATCAAAACAAGATTTTTCTGAACGTTTCGCTGTGTAAGCCACAGCTTCTTCAGCAGAAAAATATTGTTTTGACTTTCTTAACACGCTGGGATTAATTTAAATATTTTATAATGAAACAAGGAAGAATACTTTGTTTTTATTGGGCATGATTAAAGTAAAAGGTTTAAAAGACTGTGGTGAATGCAAAGAAGCTCTTTCTAAACACATGCATGAGTGGTACTTTTCAGAATCCTCTCTCTTTCGGATACATACCTGCAAAATTCAGAAATTTTTTCAGCGAAATGATTTTTCCCATATTTTTCTGGCCATAGCAACATCATTTGGACAACCGGCGATACATTAAACAACAGGTTGATGTAGGTCTTATAATCTTGCCCCCCCACAGTTCCAAACATCATTACCCACACATCCTGTAGCGTGAATAAGGAAATTCTGGGGTTCTCCAATCATTAGCACGACCAATGGCTCGGTTTAATGACCATTGTGGGGTTGATTGAATAGATTCCGGGTTTTAGGCGAAAAAATGCGCATACAGTTGTGTCACAGTGACGCCCCTGATAAACACATCCATCTGTCAAAACAGGTGTATATGAACTATCTAGGTGTAATCGAATAGGGTTTTCTTCACAATAATATGCAGACTCAGTCGGTTTGATCACGTGTCTGCAAATGGATGGCCATGAGAAAGAAGGGTGATACTACATGAGAAAAAATCCTTCTGGAATTTCACCGTGGATTTAATTGCTAACCAGTATCATTTCATGAATAATCGATAAGCTAAATAACTGTTTAGTTCTAGTTTTGAACTCTTTATCAGCACTAATTGGTTTTTGACTAGTCATTACTCGGTTCAAAAGGATATTGACGTATAGCTGTCAGATTATTCTGCCCTTCGGCAACCAACTTATAATAATTATTTATGTTCCTGAATGAAGTAGTCACTGATACCGACTTAACAGCGAACGATATACTGAAAGTTTGGGTCATCTGTACTTAGAGTACAAAAAATCAGTCTGTTAGTAATGGTTGGATTGAGACTAGCACTTCTGGAGGATTGAATAATTTAGAGCGCCTTCAATGCAGAGTATACGGTCTAAAACTGCTGATATAAACAAACTACTTAGCAGCACAGCTACTTCATGGCATTCAGAATTTGAAAGAGTTATATATAAAAATATAAATAAATAAATGAATTTTTGCATATAAACTTATAAATTAATGTTGTCTATATGGTCGGTAACGTAATCTATGTTGACCTAGAATGAGGTACAAGGTTGCACGCTGGAATCTAGGTTGCATATGGATCTATATTAAGGGTTCCCAGTTGGTGGGAATGAAAACTACATTTGTTCTTTCGTTTTACAGGTAGGATTCTATTCGTGTATAATATTATGGCTTTCTTAATAGATGGAGAATTGTAATATATCTAATTGTATTATGTTGTTTGTATTTATTCCTGTGGTGCCTTACACCTTCAGAATTTGTCTCAGAGTTCGTAAAAACTGGTAACTGCTTTTCATACTATAGTGAGATAGACTCTATTATCAGATGAACCACATGAATGCGTTGTGGATCGTCTAAAACCATTTGAAGAGAGGATACGCGATTTAGATGCATTTCTAATTCAACCAGAAAATCCTCAAAGTGATCTAACATTTATAGGTTAGTTGGTTTACTTTATCGAAATTATTTATTATCTAGGAAATGGTGTAATTGGGTGTTCATTTCAAGAAGATGGAATAGTGATCTTTAATAATGGGTTTTTGTCTAAAACTCTTAATATACCAGTATTGCTCACCTTAGATGTTCATGGATATGTCAATTTCAGTATATTTGCAAATTATTGTAATATAACACTTTTTTAGAAGCCCTACTGTTAGATATTCGAAATGGAATAATGCACAAAATGAGTTGCTTCAAGCATGTAGTAAGTGGTTGACCGTTTTTCTTTATCTTCATGTATTCCAAGCGTCAAGTTTATTCAGTGTAGCTTGGAAATTCTAAAATAAAACATGATCTTAATTTGTACGTGTTTCACCAATACTTTATTTCAGATGTTAACTATGGTCTTTTATACTTTTATGGCGTTAGCTAACTATGAATCAGTTATATTTCACTTATACTTGGGATCTGTGTTTATTGACTTTTATAAGACTGTAACTGATAAGAATTATAATTATTTAGCAGCTAAATAAATAAAAGAAAATGTCAGATACTGCGTCGTCAGACGTCAAAATGAAGAGGTATGTATATATGAACCAGGATTAAGCAGTTGGTAATGATACAAAGTGCTGTTTTCAGGTTGAACGTTAGTTGAAACTGTTAAATGATCTGTGCTTGAGATTCATTCAGCATTCTAACATGCACATATGTATACTGGTATGAATTACACATTATAAATATGACCTCTGGTCTTAATTACCATAACTAGTGTTTACTATCCATAGTCTTGTTAGAAGGACATGTTCATTAGATTTCTTTCTAATGTATATATCTTAAAATATTTGATGCTAACGAATCATCGAGTGAGAAATTAATTTAAGAGATCTTACTTCTTGAATATGTTGGGTCTAGATAAAAGTGGTCAGCGTATTATGCCTGTGAAGTACCTACCCCAGTCATCACTCTCACTCAGCTGTACAAGGTTCTTTATCATACGTATTTTGCTTAGCATCGCGTTATTTGTCATTTTGACAATGAATTTGATCGTGTCATGAAGAACTCCAGTTTTTCACAAAGTTTCTCGCATCACACAAGCATATATTAAACTATACATGATTTTGCTAATACTTAAGAGACTTTGATTATACGTTTAGTAATACAGATAACCGCTGTTCAGTACTATGACGGTCAGAAAGTTAATCGCCTATTCTTTATTCTGTGCTTTACCTACATCAACCTGGCTACCTCACTAGTACCATCAGCTGTCACGCAAGTATGGTTTGTAGTGTAATACATAAGGAATTAGCTCAGGGCAACTGAGTTATTATTATTATTATTATCTAACTTCACCCTGAATTACCCTTCTCATGTGGTCGTAACCGAGTAGTAGTGCTTAATGGTTTCACTTAGCCTCACTCATTTTATATACGGAAATAAATTTTATTTCTCAAAGATTTTTTTTCGAATGCTGTAGCATAAAAACTGATAAGTAGACTTATTTAAAATAACAGAGTCTCAACATAGAACTTTGCCCGGAATTGCAGCAGCTCAAGTTGCCACACTACACAAAAATAGAAAAAGGAATTGAAAAGAACTCTAATGAGCAGAAACGTTCAGAAGGAAGTATAGTGACATGTAGAAACTATAAATGTTTAATGTATCTCAGAGACTACGAAGAGTGGAACGGTTTTGAGCAGTATCACTAACAGTTTCTAGTCATTGGTTCTTAACATCTTTAGGACTCCAGTCTATACTTCTCTGCGTGACTCTGACTGACTGTCAACGACTTTGTGGACTGATACAGTATTTTGTTTGACTAACCTTAACAGCTTTCAAGTCTAATCGTATGTCAGTTAATTTTGCTGGACAAAGAAGGTGGTGACGTATGGACAAAGGGCTTGTTGGATGTCCTGGATGTCTGGCCCCATTCAAAAAGGTGTATGAACCGAACTCCGGTCACCGGCTGCCAATGGATAGTGGACTCCCTACTCCACTCCTACTGCCTTGTAGGTCACACTTGGTTGTGTAAAGGCTAGAGCTGCACTCTCAAAAAAAAGGCCGAGCGATTCTGGGGACATCACTCGTACCAAATTCCCATGAAACTTCATGAACTCTCTTACAAATGACTCTTTCGCCGCGCCTGGGCAGCGATGATTCGAGATGTTCATGAAGCCGGCTCATCCTCCCGTAGGAGATAGCCGAAGTAAAGTAAGTAAGTAAGGTGGTGACTCGGCATGTGTAATACGTGTCCTAGGGATCTCAGTCGATGTAGCTTCACTGCCTCATCGATCGACTTACTCTCCTTGCGTAATACTACACCGAACCTGAATATTATTCACCATCTAACATGGGAGACAGACACCTATGATCAAAGACAGCTAGCCAGGCTTTTCATGTCTTCCACTTCCAATGGTCGTGTCTCACAGCCATTAGGTAGGAGGGAGTAAACTGCTGCGCAGTACACTAGTCCTTTAATTGACAGCAGAGATGATGTTAGTTTGCAAATGTCACGTGAGCCTTTTGTGTCCGCATTGAAATTTCGTCGGCAACCAGTCCGTTAACACTGATATAATTTTCCAAATAAGGGAAGCGGTCAACACACACACGCACAAACATTTCACTGAACAGTACTAGTCCGTCTGCCCACACCACCTTGTAAAATATCGAGTATATATAAATAGCATATTAGTATGTGCATAACCTCACACTATATTCGTCCTTAAAATAAGAACAAATTATGTATCTTGTTTCCTCAGTTACAAACAAAAACCTAAAATAAGCACAAAAATTAAGTCTGTTTTAAAATCTTCGACTTCTTTTCCCCATAATAACTAATCACTCTGGAAAAGCAGGATGCAACAAGGTAAAATCTGATTGCCTGATTATTTTCAGACGGAAAAGGCAACAACTGAGTTTTTGGCAAGAGTTTAAAACGTATACAATCACTTGGTGAAACTGTTTATATAACGTTAGATTGGCAGGCTGCTACTGATATGTAATGGGTTAGAAATGTTAGAGGCCACTTTTCTAAATTCTATCATGACTCAGCTTCTCATGTCGTCACCCACTACATCATTAGTAACAATATTAGCATCTACTTTATCTGAGAATAGTGAAAAAAAACACATCAGTCATCCATGTTTTATCTGTTTCCTTTCACATAATCAAATCGTTGTCAACCCAAGATTACTATGATGGGGAGGGTTTTTTTATTATCTCAAGTGGGCTTATTTGATATTGTCCTGTTCTCTATCTCTCCCAGAGTTAAAAAAGGTTGAATTGTAAAGCTTTAATTGTCCTTCCTCTGCACAACATCTTCAGTGTTAATTCTGTTTGTGACTGTTCGTCTTTGAAAATTTTCTTGGGGTTGTATTCACCTACATTAGTATTGGGCATCTCATTGAGCTGGTATTCGACGTTTCAGTTGTACGATTTACTCTTTATATTGATTGACAAAACATGCGAATTGACCTAAGTACCAAGCCTTTAGGGAATTTTGCTGACTTTCTTCATGTCCTCTCTGTTTTTCTTCTTTTTCTTTTTACATTTCTTTCAATCTAACTGATGTATATATTGACGTGTGGGAATGTACGTTGTGTCTTTTGATTACTAGTTTGCATTGTTGCATACCATAAGATAAAGGGGATGTCTGTTTTGCCCAATGTTAACGTTTTTCGTAGTTGTAATAGTCTGTGTTATGGATGATAGTAGTTTCGTCTTTAAGTTTACGTAATGTCGATAGAAGTGACCGTCTACGTTTGATGGTGACATATGTTCCAAAAGCTTTCTGTAATCTGACATCAAAAGCTCCTATATGAAGTTAGCGACGTGGCTTTAAAAGGCTATCTGGGGTGTTTCTATGGCTCTCACCTTTGTTTGTGGACACAGAGTGAAGGGAAGATGACTCACTAGCCTGCAGAATAGTGCTAACTGTAGTAGAGAAGCAAGATGAGGAAGGTGATGTGATTAAGGGAGAGTGATGCTCAGGAAGGCTTCGTGTGCTTTTGGAAGTGTGTGGGCGGTTGTTACTTCCCGGCCGCCCACACCGTGGAAGTTGATTGATTCTTCGGGAACCTGAAACAGAAAGTGTTGCGTAACCGCAGAGCTCAGGGGACAGCTGCTTAACGCCCGGTCACACGAGGCCTGTTTTTGTTTGTTCTTTTTTGTTTGGTGTGTCTCGGTAGCATATTTATCACTTCTGCCCTGTGACACGACAGCAGGAAGCGCGGTCGTTGGTAATCCGGGCCCCGACCGATCAGGCATAATATTTTGTGAATTTGTTTGAATCATAGTATTGGATTGGGTAACTGCTTTTTGTCTAACCGCTATCCAAACGACCTTTCTGGCATGGTAGGACCTCAAGCGAAATAAGTCTCAGCCAGTATAGCTTGTAGGGTCATTGCGGTGTTCAAGCCCGACCACCACGTCAAGGTAGCAGCTTTCGGTCGGGTCTGTAATCTTCACATATACGCCAGAATGATTTCCACTGAACAATTTTAAGTTGATAGGTTGTGTTGAAGAGGTATCATACGTCAATACAAATATTCTCATGATACTTCATCTCATATTTTATTGAGCTATGTTGCTTCCATGATGTCTGACAGAATGCTCTGTGTGTTTGCGTGTTTGTGTGCTAAAACTACTAAATACCAAACAATTTTGAAGGCTTATATTTTGACCGAAGTCTAGACACGCATTGTACAGTTGACGTTTTACAGTTTATAAACCTCCACACTTTCTACCTTTGGAGTAGTATAGACCATTTACATTAGCTGTACTAAAAACTGAATGCTACTTTTTTTTAACATTCTCTGGATTTATTGATTATCGATGTATTTTATGCTACAACTATACTTGCTGTTTATCGGACATTTGATTGAAGAAGCGATAACAATATATGAAACTAATTCTTTCACCGCCTCTTTCCTGGTACTTATTGTGTGTAGTCATAAAAACGCTGACAAATACAAAGAAGTGTGTGTGTACTAGGTTTCTCTTGCGGACTTCTGAAGTCTTTCAGTTTATTGCAGTAGATAATTAAGTGCTATATGGCGTCGGTGGCACAGTAGTTAGGACTCTCATCGACCATGCACATGGTCCGGGGTTCTATCCCCTGCTGGCGCACACCTGATATCAATGAATGCTTGGCCTGCAAAATTTGGGCTACCGATATCAAATGCTGAAAATTCCATACTTGTATCAAAACTACTGTGTGGTTTCAAGCTATAATAAAAAAAATTGTGTCATACTCTGAGTTTTAGTACATTTCCGTACCAGATGAAAGTGTCTGTAAGTATGGTATGTGCTTTGCGCCGTCTAAGTGCAAAGTACTGTTACAAGATTGGCAGGAGCCTGTACCTGCACTCACTCTTGCTTGCAGGTGAACCTCTTGAAGTTGTTGAGAAGTTTGTGTATCTGGGTAGTTGTGTGATTGCTGGCTAATGGGTGACGGATGAGATTTCCAATCGTATTATGAAGGCTATGCTGGCATACATCAACTTGAGCCATATCTGGCGCCGTCGCCACATTAGCCTGGCTGTCAAAGGTCGGGTATACAATGCTTCGGTGAGGGCTGTCTTGCTCTACGCCTGTAAACCCTGGCCTCTCCGATCTGAGGATGTGAGGCGACTCTGTGTGTTCGACCATCGCTGTTTCTGCAGGATTGCTTGCGTTCGATGGCATCATCGCGTGAGTAATTTTGAGGTCCGGCGGCGTGTGTTTGAACACAGTGGAGATCACCATTCATTGAATGTCGTCATCTGGAAACACCGGCTCCAGTGGCTTGGACATGTGCTGCGAATGTCATCCCAGAAGCTTCCGTACAGGTCTCTGTTCGCTATCCCTGGGACGGGATGGAAAAGGCGGAGGGGTGGTCAATCCATGACGTGGCGTCGTGGGATGAAGGAATTTTGTGCTAGATTAGCATCGGTTGGTGTGTCACGACTCCCTGGTTGGGGTCCGCGAGATAGCTCGAATCGATGGCTTGAAACGTTATCGGATATGGCCACTAATCGTAATCAATGGCGAACGTGTTGCAATTTCCTTCTTTCTTCCCTTCCTGATGATAGTTAACGAATACTGTTTTCCTTCCAGATGAAATTCTTTATCCGTTTTCTACTTATATTTTTACTTTTAATCTATGTTGTTTTATTATTATTGTGTGGCGCATCTTTCTTGGTGCCATATTGTACCAAGTTTTTTCTTCTGCGTTTAAATAAATAAATAAGATGAAAGAAAAACAAGGTAATAGAACTTCATAATGGAATAAGCTGAAAGCAAAGAATCTGTGCGTCTTGTCTATTGTTGATTGCCTACCAGAAATTTTGTGCATGCATGGCTTACATTAGTAGTTGGGTTATGTACTAAGTGTTTGTTTTTGCCTGATTATTTGTTTCCCCCTTCCTTTCAACGTCATCATATTTCAACTAATATATTTAAGTTATCTATTTCCGTTAAGTAATAAGTAAATATATGTGTGTTCTACCTTCCGCTCGAGTAGATACGGTTCAAATGTTTCTCTGTATGACAATAAACTAACTATACCTGTTGTGTAGGGACCAATGATACCACCTGGGATTACATCTTATGACCCAGTGGATAAAAGTCGAGCGCCTAGACTAATGTAAGTCGTAGCTTCACTCTACCTTACCTTCCATACATCGACTTGAACCACACGTTAAATGTTGCTTTTAACTTAATAAAAAATCTTTTTACACGTAAAATAATTGAGTAAAGCAGTTCAAGCGTGAGGACAAATACTCGCCGAAGACATTGGCTAGTGGTCGCGCTATGTCGTCAATTGGCAGAAGTTGGAATTCATGGGTTGGTCATTGGATTGGTCGGGTCCCAACGGCTTAACCAAAAGGTCCTGGGTTCAAATCCCGATGGGTGTGTACTGATGAAGAGTCCCAAACCAGGCTGACGAAACAGCTGTGTGGCAGTACTCCCAGTTGGTTTTCCAATGGTTCTCCAACCGATATCAACTCATGATAATATCCTGTAACCAACCAACCAACCAACTAAATCCCTACAAACCAATACTTGAATAATCAATTCATCAGTTGTCCTATTGAGTAAATATGAAGTGTTTTAATCTAACATGTATTTTACCGACTGTGTTGGTATTCCCACAGGACTGTTTAAATTATTATTATTATTGTTTTTGTCTACTACAGAATGAATTGTGCGTTTCATCCGGGACAATGGTTTACGCTCATCGTCGTTATTCAAGCCTACTGATTCAAACATTCAGAGTTTATAATCCTATGGTAAGTGAATTTGTTGTATTCAAAGTTTGTTTTACGCTTGAACTATTCATGTTAGATGGTTGGAGGCCAGCGGCGAGAAGCCTTAAACTTCTCTCTGTCTGTCTATCTGTGTGTCTGTTTTCGACATAGAACTTTGCACCGATGTGCAACAGTTCGAGTCGCCACACTCTCTCTTTGTAGCACACGAAGCAAGAGAAAAAAAGTAAAAAGAAATGCAAAGAGAGACAATAAACAGAGATATGAGGCAAAAAGAATAGTAATATCGAAGAACTATATAGTTTTATTGGAAATTATAAGTCACAAGGAGTGGATGCATCTGCAACAGCCATTGAGAACGATTTTAAGCCATATCACCATTTGTTTCCCAAGGACCCCAACCAGGAAGTCTACACTTTCCTACATCGCTTAGACTAACTGTTGTAGATTTCATTGACTGGTGCCATGTTTTGGTTTGACCACTACTGGCTCTCTCTTTTCCAACTTGACTCTATGTCAGCTAACATTGCCTGTCGAGGAAGGCGATGACTACGTATACTTAACACATGTTCTAACCATCTCAGTCTATGTAATTTCACAGCCTCGTCGATTGATTTCTCCTCCTCACCTAGCACTCGACCGACGCCTAACCTCAATATTGCTCACCTTATTACACCACTTCACACGGGAGATAGAACGCAGACACCTATGATCAAAGATAGCTAATCTTTTAATGTCTTCCACTCTCAATGGCCAAGTTTCACAGTCAGCCATAAAGGAGGACGGAGCAGACTGCTGAGCAGTACACCCGCCCTTTGGTCGATAACCAGCCGGATATCACGTCTACGCCAGAGATGGTCTTTGACTTAGGTTTCGTACACCGTGATGGTTAGCCACCAGGTGGCATAGTGACAGCCACATTGCAAACTTGACTGACAACAGAATTCAGTCCTCACCAAACAAGGGACTTAACACACTGACTAGTAGTGTCCAGTCAAAGTTTTTGAACTAGTGTATTAACAAAATGTGGTTATTATTGTCTGTCATTGGTAGATTCTGAGGTTAGGTGTAAAGTGTTATAAGGGTAAAAAGAAGGAAACATCAATCAATTAATCGATCGATTGGATTGTGAAATCCCCACATCGATTAAGATGGCGCTAAGACACATGTGCTACACACATGCCAAACCATCTCTTTTCCCTCTTCAAGCAATATTAGCTGATATAGGACTGAGTGACTAACTGACTGACTGGGTTAGAAAAGAGTGAAGATTGATTTACCCCAAAACATAGTATCCATCCATGAGTTCTTTGATGTCTGGTTTGTATCACTAGTGAAGGTGTCTGTAGACTACCTGGTGGTTGGCGTCTCAGAGGTGCTAAGAATCAATAAGTAGAGAGACTAAAGTCGGCGAAGTAGCTGAAAAATTGTTCTCAAGGGCGTACCCTCTCCTCGTGATCTTTCAGATCTATTGAGTGTCCACATTATACTCCTTAACTTAGTCCCCCACGCCCCGCCCCCCTCATGTCTCTGCTGGTGTGATAGTTTCCTCTGAATCACCAACAAGAAATTATGGGAAGAAACAAAACAAAAACTAATCGCCCAACAGATATGCAGGAGAAAGTGGAGATGGATTGGACACTCGCTGAGGAGGCCGCCGAATGACATCACGCGTCAGGCCATAGCTCGAGTGGAACCCGAAAGGGAAGCGGCGAGTGGGACGTCCACGGGTGACATGGAGTTGATCGTGTGAAGAGGAGTTGAAAAAGTATGGACTAACGTGGATGCAGGTGAAAAGTACAGCAGAAGACAGAAGCAAGTGGAGACGTGTAGTTGAAGCCCTATGTTCCACTAGGAACCCAAGGGAATAATAATCATCATAATAAAGTGTCAACTTAACACGCGTGAAGAGGGTGAGAAAATGTACAAAAGGAGGAACATATGAGATTGTTAAGTGTGTCTTCTTAGTTCAAGATTTGGGATTCAGGGATATTTATATCCATAAACACGTCGGTGATAAAGCAAAACAACTTCAGGTGTGTAATGTTTGTGCCTTCTTTGGTTTTCAACAGACTTACTTTCTATGCATCTGTCGGAACCCAGTCATTTAGGTAGGCTTGGTAGGAGTTATACAATAAACTGGCTAATTAACATACTGTTGTCTAAACTCTTTATTTGTGTGTTTTACGATAGTATTTACTCTTTTCAGTTGAATTTGCAGAAAATTTAGTAGTTTTAATGAGTGGGTTGATATGTGCACCTAATCTTATGTGGGTTAGAGGAATTTCAATGAGGTTGAACCTGTGTAATCACCGGTTGTTAAATCAAAATATTCATCTCGACGAGGTGGTTGTGAAGTTACACCGATTGAGATGGTTAGGATGTATGCTACGCATACACCACTGAGCCATCGATCACCTTCCTCGACGACGGGCAATGTTAACTGACTGACACTGGATGGTTGAGGTCAATGCAATTCACAACAATTAGTTTAAGCTAGTCACTTAGGGAGGTGTAGACTTCCTGACTGGTTGGGATCCACGGGATGCTAAACACGAATGGCAGCTGGAGAAAATTGATGGTATGGCTCAAAACCGTCGTTGTCAATGGCTGGCGGAGATACATTCAGTCTTTGTCATTTGTCATATCCAATAAAAATTCTATTGTTCTTGATGTGGTTGTGTTCTCTAAGCTAGCTGGATAGTTAATTTGCGAAGCTTTCATTGCCCTACTTACTAGGTAACATCTTAAGCGCGTACTTCAATTCGAGTTGAAGTGAGCTTTTAGATTTCTCCACGAGTTTATTATTCATCTCTCCTGGTGACCACCCTGAACGTGATTAGTTGTTTTTGTGTGTTTTCACACCTTCTAGGCTACTTGTGTATTGGAACTTATTGTTTCTTTGACTTGAACTTTGACCCTTTATGTGTGAGATTTCTTTCTTATCGGTTGATAAATTTTGTCAATCTCGATGTGTCTATTGATTGATGATTCACTGGAATACCAAGCTTCTAAAAATTCTCTAGCATTCTTGTTGTTCCCTCTGTCTAATATTTGAACGTTGTCCCAGTCGAATTGATGTATGTATGTAGTGATATGAGGGAGTGAATATCATGTCTTTTGATGGCTAGCTTATGTTCGTGGATACGAAGACGAAGACGACGTCCACTTTGGTCAATGTAGTGTTTTTCGCAGTCGCTGCAATTGATTTTGTAGATGATGTTGGTTTTATCTACTTTCGCTGTTGAGTCTTTTGGTTGACATAGAATTGAGTGAAGTGACTTTGTTGGTGTGTGTACGACGTCAATTCCTAAAGGTTTGAAGAGTCTTGTAGTGATTTCTGAGATATCCTTTATATATAGTAAGGCGATTTTCTTTATGCTTTCCTTGGGGGCTTTTGGTTTGATAGGTTGACTTGGGGGTAAATGTATTTTGATGAAATTCCGTGGATATCCATCCATTCTTTTGGAAGACGTCCATGAGATATTTTTTTTCAATTTTCCTTAAGGTGGAGGTGCTGCAATGAGTCCTGGCCGGCTCTCTTGAATAGTGTTTGCATACAATTCCTTTTGTGTTATTGGATTGTTTCTGTTGTAATTCAGGATTTGATCTGTGTGAGTTGATTTTCTATAGACTTGAGTTTCTAATTCCCCTGTGGTTGTTCGCTTGACTAAGACATCTGTACAAAGTTCTATGTTGAAACCAGTCAGTCAGTCGGTCAGTCATCTTGGTCATATCTTTCTCGGAAATGTTTTTTTTTTCAATGGCATCATAAGTAATTGGCCATATGTATTAAGATAATTGAATGCATTAATTATGATTGCATTCATAGACTTTACTTTACAGTGTGCTAGTATGGTTTTCTAGTGTTGGTTTACAAAGATTGGAGTGATGTCAAGTGAGAGAATCATTAGAAACTAGGGATAGCTATTTTGTACTCTTGGAAATTATGCACCTATAACTCTAGAGGTGTTTAAACCAAGGAACTTCAAGTTATGAGGTGTACCGGTTAACCATTCAACCGCTGGGGTGCGATCCGTTGACTCATAAATTCCAACTTCCGCCAATATGTAACCAGTGCTGTCGACGAGCTTTTGTCCTCATACTCGACTTGATAGATTCCACCAGTCACCATTTGTCACTACGATTCTAGTAATTCCATCCAGCAGTATAATGTGTTGACGTTGTGAACAGTGTCGACTTCCAATTAACTATCCTCGCAAATTCGATCCAATTGCCACTGGGGTTTGAGCAAGTAGATGGAATTACTTTGCATCACAATAAATGGATTTTCTATAGTTTGGTTTGTGAGGGTTTGTTATGTTTTTACGAGTTGATCACGGACTGATATCAGTTAGAGAACCATTGAAAACCAGGGAGTACTGGACAGCTGCTGTTTCATCCTAGTTTGGGAATCATCGGCAGTATGCCGAATCCCAGTGGGTGCGTACTGCCGATGATTCCCAAACTAGGATGAAACAGCAGCTGTCCAGTACTCCCTGGTTTTCAATGGTTCTCTAACTGATATCAGTCCGTGATCAACTCGTAAAAACAATAAGTGGAGTTCACAGAGCATTGCGAAAAGCTGTCTTGTAAATGCCAATAGTATTTAGTGGCTAAGTAAAGTACAGTTAATATTTATTTATTTGTGTATTGTTTCAAGTCTGGAGATTCTTCAAAGATAATAATCAGGTTCTTTGAGCAATTTATGAGCACCCAACCGTAAAAATTCGTCATTTGTCTGTTCCACTCTGGCTTTCTATGTAATGATCTGTCTAATGTCCCACCGAAGTTTTGAGTCAGTTAAACATCATATCCTAATCCTAAGAATGCACAACTCAGTGTCGTTCGATGAATAAGTCACTCTTTTTTTTAAAAGCAAGATACTAACTGAAAATGTGAGTATCTCCCACGCCTCATGAAGAGAAACATTGTTCGACGCAGATGCGACAAGGAAAAGTCCATCACCGCGTCCTGGGGAAGATGTAATTATTTATTTCTCAACTGATTTCCATTCCTTTATTTTCCAATCCCCTTTGACATTCAGTATAAGTTTTGTAATTTTTTTTTGATTAATAAAATTGTTAGAATAAGTATCCAAAATATTTAAGAACCTGTTTTGACGGGAACTACCGCCTGGTAGACTTCGAGCGAATACTAAGTGCTGTGGCTGAAGTGTCCTAACCGCACATCACCAATAACACCACCAGGCCGCAAAGATAGAAGAGAAAGAGTTGACGTTACTAAGAGAGTTTTTACTGCCTCAAAACAGCAATCAAAAATGGTTGACAGGGCTCACGTATGTATATATATGTTTAAAATGACCTTGAGAAGCACTAATGTCATTAATGAATTAAGACAGTGAACAACCAATAGAATTTCAAAGGTCATAAGTAGGGTGAGAGAAAGTCAGTTCATAAATCGATAAGTCGGGTGAGAGAAGTACAAACAGACATGTAGGAGATTAGGTCTGTATATATATCAGAACCTCAAAGCCATTTAGAGCTATTCAAATCTGTACGGTGGAGCGTGAGTTTATTGGATTGTGGAATATACTAATGGGGGATTAGTGTGAGTAGCTGGGATCCACTAACGTCAACTTATGGTAGTACTAGTAGTGTGGTGAGAGCTGGCTGCTAGCCAAATTGGTAGACATTAATTTACGTCGAGGTTTATGTCCTCAATATTGGTCGCGAGAAAAGTAGGAACAAAGACTTTGCGTAGGCAGGTACAGTTAGCATATAGATGATCTGACATTCAAGAAACAGCCACAAAGAGGTGAAAGATTAACTTTCAGTGAGAAGCAACCAATCAGAATACTGTGTTTTTCTGCTAACAATAAGCTGTAATAATGTACATGAAAATCTATAAATATGTGTTGATTTCTTTAATAAACGATCTGTTGCCTGGCTCTTGTCTTCTGTTGTTACAGTAGTACTTGCTAGCCACAAATTTGGAGGGACCTTACCACTGAACTTCCGTTTTGCTCATTTGGGATAATGTTAATCAGCTTTGTGCCTGGATAGACTCAGCTCAACAAGCCGGATTTCGACAAGTTATATAAGAGAAGTGGAATCAAACAAGCGAAACGGCTGTTTAATGTCTAGATCACTTATAATTGAATTGGCAGAAGTTAGAATTCATGGACTGGCCATTGTATTGGGTCCCAGTGAGATTAATGATCTACGAGCTTGCTAGCCTTGTAACCAGAACGTCCTGGGTTCGAACCGGCTGTGGTGGGTGCGTGCTTTTGAAGAGCCAGTCAGTCTCAAACTGGGTTGACGAAACAGATGTCCAGCAGTACTCCCTGTTGGTTTTCCAATGGTTCTCTAACTGATGTCGACTCAACCGCTTAGACTTGTGGCTAACTAACAAGCACTCTTAGTTGACGTCAGGGGTTTCCAACTACTCTACTAGAAGTACATACTATGTCACTTGCATTCTTCGTTGCTATTTATGACACCAAGCAGATCTCATGTAGTTATGTGAATGTTTTTGATATTCAGAGCAATCTGTGGTATATTTTCCACCTGGAACAACTCTATAATAACTTTTGATTCACGATTCCTCTATCAGTCGTTATGTTACCTAAATAGTTTTCTTATAAACATAATAATTTATTTGTGTCATAGGACTGGGATAATACTGTAAAAATTGAAAAGGGTAACCTAAAGAATTGGACAGAACTTACATCTCTTCGACTTTTGAAGTGAGTTTCTGCACTTATTTACTTTTTGACTACTTATAACATTTTGTGAGTAGCTTGTATTTCATAGCAAAATGTTTTTGATTAAATGTTATAAGTTGCCTCCAGGTTTTCAGGGTGCATTTGCTTGAATATCTTTTGTCATATCTCGTCTTCATTTGATTAATGAACATTAAAAAACTGTTTGGAATCAAAACTTTTAAAATTTCATGGACAACGTTGATTGAATTTCAAGAAGAAGACGTGAATATGCAAATCTCTAGCTCCCCCCTTTATGCGGTCTTAAAGCAACTGATACTTATTTGTGTTTCCCTGTCACACCAGGAAAATACGTTCTCAATTACTTCAGTATATCGTTAACTCCCATACAAGTGCAAGTCTTGCTGGTGGGTCAAAAACCCTGCGACATTTAGACAAATATGAACTACCTGGATATAAAATGTTCAGTTTGCGGGACTGACAAGTAAATCCTCTTCCAATGTCGAACAATAACACTCGAACAATTTAAGTCAATAGTGTTGAGCAGTTGTTCATCACTATGTTGACGCTAAACGAGATACCGAACGACTGGTTTCACCTGACCACAGAAGGCAATTACGTGAGGTTTTGAGAAATAACAACTTTGTTGTAACTGCAGCGGAATTTAATGAGGACGTTGACGTCTTGTTCTGTCTGCGCCTGACTAATATGCCTATCTGCTTCTGGTACCTTCCGATTCAGCGAACCACGCAAATATCAAAAGACAAAGTCTGGTCTGTGACTGTGTATTGTAGTACGACAAACTACGACGAAGAAACTTATTTAGGGAAATGGTATTTATACATTTTTACAACCAATACAGACAGCTAACAGTATTTGAAATAATTGGTCGTAATAGTCAATAACAAAATGCGTGGGAAATGATGATATACCACATATGCGAGATTAACAGTCGTTAAGATAATTGAACAATAACAAAGCGTGTGGGACCCTATCAAACTTGACACTGATGTGTGCAGATAAAAGTGCAGACATCATCCTAATGAATCGTCAAGACTGTATCAACAAATTGCTACCCATCGTAGCAGACAAAAACATAATTACTGAGTTAACTGCTGTATTAATTATTTCACCTACTTGATGATATTAGATAGTTGGAGGTAATCGGCCTCAGGAAGCCTTGGTTGTACCTACGTTTCGTGCTAGTTGGCACTCACCAGTCAGCAAGGCAGCGTATCTGCAACCTTGAAGGAACTCATGTCCCTTCTGAGATTGTGACCGCATCACCCAGTGCTGCGGTCACGGATGTTACCACTGAGCAGCTATTTGGGCTCGCGATTGACCTCCTGTAGGACAGTAGTTGGTATTTTAATTGGACACTAGTAACTAGTGTGACGTGTGTAATCCTTTCTTTGGTGCCTACAGGTGCCGATTGCCTCCGACAATCTAATTAATCATCAAATCAATGTGTACCGTGATAGCGAGCTACCTAGTGGCATGGTGGCCACATTGCAAACCTGACTGATAAAATTCAGTCTACACCAAAGAAAGGACTAGACACACACTATACTAGTTACTAGTGTCCAATCAAAACATGTCACCCACTATTAATTATTCACAAACTTCTTACGATACGTTTTTGGTAAATATGAATACAATTGTATTACAGTCTCTGAAGATGATTTCGTCGACACAAAGAGAATTTCCTTCAATGAGTTGTCTTTTATTTTCAAAATTTACTTATTCATTGCTGGTGTATATGTATTATAGAGCACCCTAGGCCTTGATTGGTTAGTGTTGTTGATAACGAGACGACTGATGACCGGCCAGATTAAGGATAAATAGTCATCAGAAGTGTCCCAGCATGATATATGCACGCCTGATGAATTTCAGCGCATACAGCTGGAAATTTCATTCATCACATCTCCATCAGCACACACACACACAGACACACAATCATCTACATCCATGAACATCCGATTAAACCTAACCTCTACATGCTCATTTTGAAGGATAAATGAAGACACGGACATCAGCCCTTGCCTGTCTTTCCAATATACCTTGCACTTAGGCAGTGGTGTTCAGATAACCTACTTACGAGTACTGAATGCTAATTGAATAAGTATGATTAAGGTGATTTTTATGTTGTCCCATAGTCGTATGAAAGAGTCTGCCTAGTTCGCAGGTTAAAGAGACCTGAGAACACTATACCAGATGACCAGGTCTCTATCCAGGAAGAGATCAACACAGATGGTGAAACCAATAAAAGATGGTGAAGGGAACTTAATTATCAATGAGGAGAGATAAATAAAACAGTGGGCTGATCACTTCAAAAGACTCTTGAATCGATCATTACCTGCAACTTGCACAGAAATAACACCAACACAACAGCACGCACAGAACTGTCAGTGGACACCAATACTCCAACGAAAGCAGAACTGTTGAATGCAATCAAGCTACTGAAGTCCACGAAGGCAGCTGGACCAGATGGAATTTCACCCGAAGCACTGAAAACAAACCTAGAGACTGGCAGACATGCTGACGCTATTATTGCAAAAATATTGGCAGGAAGAAAAGGTGCCTATGGATTGCAAGGAAGACTACGTTGTCAAGTTATCAAAGGAGGGAGATTTTGGCCTCTCTCTGCAAAAACTGGCTTTGAATAATGCTCTTGTCCATGCCTAGTAAAATGCTAATCCATGGCATGCTGGAGAAAATAAATGATACACTGAATATAGAACTCCGTCAACAGGAACAAGCTAGATTCAGGAAAGGCAGATTGTGGGCTAATCAATTTGCTATCCTACTCATCATCATCAAACAAAGCATAGAATAACACTCAAACCCTTCTCCACGTCAATTTCATCGACTACGAAAGAACGTTCGACAGTGTTGACCGAGAAGTAATTTGGAAACTGCCTCCACACTGTGGAGTGCAATGCCCCAAGTCGTTATCAACCTCATTCAACTTATGTCAAAGTGCCACTTGTGAGGTGATCCATAATGGAAAACTCAGTGTGGCGTTTGAAGTGAATACAGGAGTAAAACAAGGCTGACTGCCTATTATCACCAATGATATTCCTAACTGGTAGACTGGATTATGCGGCACACTATACGTTGGGAGCGGGGAGATAGGAATACGTTGGACTAACCGATGAGAAGACTCTAGAAGATCTGGATTTGTTTCGTGGATGATTTGTGTTTAGTATCACACGGACCCGAAGACTTTCAGGCAAAAACCAACAGACTGCCTGAAGATGTAGGCAGCAACGATAGGACTGCAGGTGAACATAGAGAAGACGGAGGTGATGAAGATAACCAACCAAGAGCAACAACAACCAATCACCATCAACAGGAGAGATTTGAAAGAGGTTACTTCCTTCACTTACCTGGCTAGCAAGCATCGTTTCAGCCACAGGCAACAGAAGGGGTGAAGTTGCCGAAGCCAATCAGGATCGGAAGCTTCATGCTGAAGATCATATGGCTGGCTGGCCAGCCAGAAAGAATTAGCAGCTAGAAACTATGGGAACAAACTAACCAGGAACCTATCATTCAACAAATATGCAGAAAAAAGTGGAGATGGGTAGGGCATAAGCTGAGAAGGCCGTCGAATGACATCGCGCTCCAGGCCTTCACTCGAGTGAAACCCGAATGAGAAGCGACGAGTGGGTCGTCGGTGAGAGGGTGACATGGAAGAGATAGGGTGATGAGGAGGAAAAGAGAGATTATGGACAGTCTTAGGGTCAATCAGCTGAAGAGGACCGCAGAAAATAGAACAAAGTGTAGATGTGTTGTTGAAGCTCTATGTTCCACTCGAAACCCAAGGGAACAATAATAATAGCGCCTTAAGTAGTATCTGAGTAGTATCATTATCTCATGGATTTCCATTTGGAGAATCGAGATATACCAATAAATATTATTTTGTCGTAACTATGCTTCTGTTTGTGGTATTACTCGATGTATTTATTACCTCCCTGTCTCCGCTGGTTGGCAAAATAGTCAACTCTATAGTACATGCATGATAAGTGTCAAAATACTGAATTTCATCGGTTGCATTTATTTAGGTTGTCTGATACATAAATCCTTCGATCGATAGCCGGATATCCCTTCTCCGCTAGAGATGACACAAGTTGGCCAAATCCCACACACAAGCCTTTTTGTATCCCTTTAGAGATTTTGTCAACAATTAGCCCGTTGGGGTTGATACAACTTCTCCCCAAATAAGCTCTATTACTTCACTATGTATCTTTCAACTAGGAGTTGGAACAGATGTCAGTTCCTACAGCATCATCTTACATTTGACAGGGGACGAATTGCATGTCAAACAGTAACAAGATTTCTACTCAAATAATTTAAGTTGGTGTTTATTTTTGCATATTTGTATATTTGCTTACTATATATTTCAATGTACATTTGCTCACCTTCTCCTTTCCAAGGTTCTACTTCTTTTGATTGGTCTGTCTGTTTGTTTTTATGGAAGATAATGGTAACTATAATCTGTATATGACTGATAGCTATCACAATAGCTTGTTATACTTACATTTAGTTATATATATATATATAATTATTATTCCCTTGGGTTCCGATTAGAAAACATAGGGCTTCAATAAAGCATCCCCACTTCGTTCTATTTTCTGCTGTCCTCTTCATCTGACTGATCCCACGATTGCCCATAATCTCTCATCTCCTCCTCCTCGCATAATCTCCTTTATGTTACCCTTGGACGATCCAATCGTCGTTTCCTATTGGGATTGAAACTCGAGCGTTGACCTGGATAGCGCGCGATGTCGCTCGACGGCCTCCTCAGTGTACGCATGATCCATTTCCATTCTCTCCTACATATTCATTGAGCAATTGGCTCTTGGTTGGTTTGTTCCCAGCCAAAGTTTCTTGTTAATTGTTTATATATATATATATATATATATATATATATATATATATATATATAGTGAAAACAAGACTGCAGGTGAACACAGAGAAGACGGAGGTGATGAAGATAACCAATCAACAGCAACAACAACCAGTACCAATCAAAATCAGCGGGAGAGGTTTAACAGAGGTTGCCTCCTTCACTTATCTGAGAAGCATCGTTTCAACTACAGGCGGAACGAATGAAAATATCAAAGTCAGAAGCGGAAAGGCAAAATACGCCTTCATCAACCTGATACCAGTTTGGAAATCCTCCGCACTCACTCAGCAGCATAAAGAAGATTCGGATTTCCAACACCAATGTAAAGTCGGTCACCTCTTCTATGCGGGTTAGAAACTTGCACTGCGTGTCACGAGAAGGATTTCCAACAGCCAGCTGCAGACTTTCATCAACAGCTGCCACCTCCACTGGCTACATACTGAAGATCAAATGGCTAGCCAGAAAGAATAAGCGACCAGAAACTCTCGTTGGGAACAAACCAACAGGGGAGAGCCGATCGCTCAACAAATATTTGGGAGAAAGTGGAGATGGATCGGGCACACGCCACTTAGGAGGCCGTCGAATGACATCGCATGCCAGGCCACCACCCGAGTGGAATCCGGATGGGAAGTGAACAGCGGGTCGTCAGTGCGAGAGTGACATGGAGAAGATCGTGTGTGGGGAGGAGGAGATGAGAGATTATGGGCGATCGTGGACCCAGCTGAAGAAGACAGCAGAAAACAGAACAAAGTGGAGATGTGTTGTTGAAGCCCTATGTTCCACTCGGAACACAAGGGAATAATAATATGTATATATATATATATATATATTACTTATCAGCTGGTGCTATGCTACATATACTCTCATTACTTTCTTCTCATCCGTCTTTTTTTCAATAGACTTCAAAGAAAGAGTGAGATAAAAAATCATGCCTCTGAAGAAGTAACTTATCAAGTGGCCTGTGGCATTGTACGCTTACCGTCTGTAGAAAATATTCATACAAATACTCAGGTATTATTAGTTGTTGTCTACGAACCAGTTTTCCCTGATAATCTCACAGTTCCATCTGGATCGTAAGTTTTTATTTTTTTTTTGCTCTTTATTTATTTAAATTGAATTACACTCATTCATTCATTTATTCAATTTTGTTGTGTAAAATAAAATAAAAGTGATTATTATCATTCATTCCTTGCTTTCAGCGGTACATCTCTATTAAACTCACTTTCATAACTTTCATGACTTTAATACTCTCGATGTTCTAAAATGTCTTAAAACACTTAAGCCCTCACGTAGCCTTGGTCCTGATGGTATACCTGCCTATGTTCTAAAACAATGTGCAGATGTGTTGTGTTCTCCACTAACCAACATCCTAGATGCTTCTTTCTCTAAAAATATCGTACCTGATGCATGGAAAGACATCAAAATTGTCCCTGTCCCTAAACCTGGAAACGGCAAGAACGTAAAGTTCAGACCCATTGCCATCACTTCCCCGTTTCTAAAGCTTATGGAAAAACTAATACTTCTTAAACTCGAACCCTCCCTTAAAAACTTCGAAGACCCCAAACAATTTGCCTATAGACAGGGTAGGAGTACATTAGACGCTGCAGCTGTCTTACACAACAACATTGTCTCATCATTAGATAAAGGTGCCAAGTACGTCCGCTGCACGTTTCTTGACTTCACTTCTGATTTCGACTCTGTTCCTAGATGTCTCCTGCTAAATAAGCTCTCTTTGACGAAAACTGAGTCTTGGGTCACTAACTGGTTGCATTCCTACTTCTCAAACACAATGCAGTACACCGTGTACAAAGGTAAATCATCCTCTGCTGTACTCACTGAAGCCAGAGTCCCCCAAGGCGCTGTACTCTCCCCACTTCTCTTTTCTTTCTTTCTACATGACTTACCATCTTCAAATGACATTAATTTTGTCAAATACGCTGACGATCTGTCTGTATCTTTGCCTATCAAATGTCAAAGCGACTGCTCTAAACTTAATGGCTTTCTGTCAGAAATCAGCCAGTGGTCCAAGGAAAATGGTCTTACCCTAAACCCCTCCAAATGCCGAACAGTCAATTTCACCTTTAGGCATAAATCCGACCTAAACAAACTGTTTGGCTCTTACGAGGTATGCAAAATAGACGACACTGAAATAGAGACCAAGTCGGAAATCAAATACCTAGGCGTCATTCTATCTGCTGATCTCTCCTGGTCGTCTCATATCTTAGCAATTTCTAAGAAAACATTCCGTCTTACCTTCTACATTAAGAAGTTAAAACATTCTGGTATAACCCAACCCTAACTTCTACAATTCGTTAATTCTCGCATCCTGCCTATTATTCTCTATTGTTCCCCCTTAGTTTTTCCCGGGCTACTGAAGAAAGACTATATCTTATAAAGTAGTGAAATGCTGAGAATTCCATTCTGTATCACAAGTACTGTTTTGGAATAAAGCAAATTATTATTATTATTATTATTAACTCAGTTCTGTGGCATTACTTTCATCTGGTTTGAAGGCCTATTCACATAAGCTTCAATCTTCTCTTCACATGATCTCCGTGTAACTCTTTAATGGAGATTGACTTGTTACTGGCAGGGAATAATCTCGTTGACTTAGAATATACAGATGATATAGTCCTCCCTCCTAGCTGAAGACGCTGACAAAGTGGAGCAGAGTCTTCTGAACACCTTCAGTAGTGAGCACTCTTCAAATGTTTGGCTCCTTTCAAATATAATATGATGCTTCCTACAGGACTGAACTACATCAACTCACTCCTAGCTTAAAGATAGCAGGGAGGAAATGGTGAAGTGGTTGATGGAGCGTGTTGACCACTTCACTTCACTTATATTTAGAGGGAAGTTGCATCAGCCAACACCAGCGGGTTGATCGATCGCTGACGAAATCTCACCACAAATACAGAAGGCTCGTTTCGTATATGCCAGTTTACGCTATCTCTGGCGTAGACGTCATATTCAGCTGGTTATCGACAAACTGTCGTGCGTACTGCTCAGTAGTTCGCCTACTGCTCAAGGTGTTCATAAGACTCCACTCTATTTTGTCAACGTCTTCACCCAGAGGAGAAGACTATATCATCTGTATATTCTAAGTCTCTGAATTCACTTAGGGTTAAGTTCATTAGTTCATCTTTGATGAAATTAAAAAGAAATGGGAACACTGGTGGGCATCCCTGACGGATACCACTGATTATCATCACTTCAGATGAAAACTCTTCGTAGTTTCTCATCTGACTCTCTGTATGAATTCGATTGGACTGCCTTGGTGAGTGCATTGTATTTCCTTGGCATCCCCTTCACAGTCCGTTATCACCATAATACCTCTCGATCGAGGGAATCGAATGTTACTTTCAGGTTAAGAAATACGACGATTGTTGGACGCCACTAGGCATGCCTATGTTCGAGAATTTGTCAGAGGGTAAAGATATGATCGATACACCCTCTGTCTGGTCCAACGCCTGTCTTTACTAGATTTCAACAAACTGAATAAGAGAAATTGTGTGCAATATATATTAATGGGGCTTTTTTGGTAGTCCAGGTTTTTAACAGGCCGCCAGCCACTTTAGTTGGGTATAAATTTCACTTTAGATGAGTTCATTTGATATCATACACAGTGATAGACTGTTAGTAACTGGATAATATTTAAAGTACAGTTTATGGGCTCATAATCTTATCGGCAACGGCACATGTCAAGTGATCCACAATGGAAAACTCAGCGAGGCGTTTGGAGTAAACACAGGAGTCAGACAAGGGTGCTTATTATCACCAATGATATTCCTAACTGTGGTGGACTGGATTATGCGTCAGACAGTGGGAAACGAGAAGACAGGGATATCCTGAACCGACGTGAAGAACCTAGAAGACCTGGATTTCGCGGATGATTTATGTCTGATGTCACACAAAATCGAAGACTTACAAGCGAAAACCGACAAACTGATCGAAGAAGCAGCAAAGACAGGACTACAGGTGAACATAAACAAGACGGGGGTTATGAAATTAACCAACCACCAACAACAACAACAGCAGTAACATCCACCGCCAATCACCATCAACGGGAGGGATTTGAAAGAGGTTACTTCATTCACTTATCTAGGGAGCATTGTCTCAACTACAGGTGGAACGGACGAGGATGTCAAATGGAGAATCGGGAAGGCGAGAAACACATTCATTATCAACCTGAAACCAATCTGGAAATCTTCGTCACTCAGCCTGCATCAACAACAAAATTCGGATTTTCAATACAAACGTGAAGTCAGTCAGTTCTTCTATACGGATCAGAAACTTGGCGGGTCACAAAGAATATTCCCAACATTTTTGATTGCACACTAGTCAGTAACTAGTGTAATGTGTCTAGTCCTATCTTCGGTGCAGACTGAATTCTATCAGTGATGTTTGCAATGTGGCCACCATGCTAGGTAGCACACCATTACGGTGCACTGTCAATTGTTGGTATTAGATGGTTGGAGGCAATCAGCAGGAAGCCTTGGACCTAGGTTTCGTCCTAGTTGGCACTCATCAGCAAGGCGTATATGCAACCTTGAAGGAACTGATGTCCCTTCTGAGATTCGAACCAGCGTCACCCAGTGCTGCAGTCAGAGACGTTACCACTGAGCTATTCAGGCTCGCGACTGACCTCCTGTAGGACTGTATTGAATATTTTTGATTGCACACTAGTCAGTAACTAGTGTAATGTGTCTAGTCCTATCTTCGGTGCAGACTGAATTCTATCAGTCATGTTTGCAATGTGGCCACCATGCACCGAAGATAGGAATAGACACATTACACTAGTAACTGACTAGTGTGCAATCAAAAATATCCAATACAGTCCTACAGGAGGTCAGTCACGAGCCTGAATAGCTCAGTGGTAACGTCTCTGACTGCAGCACTGGGTGACGCTGGTTCGAATCTCAGAAGGGACATCAGTTCCTTCAAGGTTGCAGATACGCCTTGCTGATGAGTGCCAACTAGGACGAAACCTAGGTCCAAGGCTTCCTGCCGATTGCCTCCAACCATCTAATATTCCCAACAGCCTGTTGCAAACCTTGATCGACAACTGTCTTCGCTCTCTACTGAAGATCAGATAGCCGGAAAGAATCATCAACAAGAAACTATGGGAGCAAGCAAAACAAGAACCAATCGCCCAACAAATATGCAGGCGAAAGTGGAGATGGATTGGACACTGGCGGAGGAGGCCATTGGGTGACATCGCGCGTCAGGCCAATGCTCGAGTGGAACCCGAAAGGGAAGCGGCGATTGGGACGTTCAAGGTTGACATGAAGGGTATCGTGTGAAGAGGAGTTGAAACAGTATGGACTAACATGGATGCAGGTGAAAAGTACAGCAGAAGACAGAAGCATGTGGAGTTGAAGCCTTATGCTCCACTAGGAACTCAAGGGAACAATAATAATAATCTCATCGGTGTATTCACACAACTTCCTTACTTGCTTTATGTAGCCTTTCCCCACCCGTTAATTTACTTATATAGGGGGTGGGGAGGGGATAGCCGTTGCTTCCTTCTCAGTGTTCATCGAATCAACACCAAGCATGCACAGAAAATCGGTGATGATTAATCTCTCTTTACCTAACTATATCACTTTTTAACATTTTTACCCTGTCTCAGCCTTTTATGCAAGCTGAGTAGTTTTCTAGATTATTTAACTTAGCAAGGTCAAACATTTCAGATATCCTATCTAAATTCCTTTGTTCCGATCACCCTAACTTACACCGATCTACTCTATTTTTATCTGCTTAATTGACCTCATAGTCACAGTATGGTATTTTAGTTCTTAATTAAATCTAATTCTTAAAATGACAAAGTTTATCACTAAGTGAATTGGTTGATTTTCAGTGCCAATCTAATCTTGGCCTTATTATGAATCGTACTCAAAAGGGCTGTTTTGTTTTTCTATTAGTACATAATAGTATTGTAACGACAGAAGACAAGGGCCAGGCAACAGATCGTTTATTGAGAAAATCAACAGTGGGTGCGTACTGCCGATGATTCCCAAACTAGGATGAAACAGCTGTCCAGTAGTTCAGTGCTGGTTTTCAATGGTTCTCTAACTGTTATCAACCCGTAGTTAAAATCGTAAAAAAACAAATTTAATCCTTACAAACCAAACTATAGAAAATTAATCTTATGCTCGCTAGTGACTTGCTACAGGATGGAGTTTCCTGGAGTTCTAGTGAGAAGTCGTGACCAGTGAGGTCCATCCAGATGTCACGTGTGAAGATGGATTTCCCACTGACGACATTGGTTGGTGCCAGTCGCGCTAAATCACGAATTGGTAGAAGTTAGAATTCATGAGCTGGCCATTGAATAGGGTCCCAGTGGGTGAGTGATATACGAGCCAGCTTGCCTTGTAACCGGAAGGTCCTGGTTCGAACCATGGCAGTGGGTGCGTACTGACGGTGATTCCCAAACTAGGATGAAACAGTTGTCTAGTACTCCAGTGCTGGTTTTCAATGGTTCTCTAACTGATATCAATCCGTGATCAACTCATAAAAACAAATGCCCTTACAAACCAAACTGTAGAAAATATTTATAGATTTTTATGTAAATTATTATTAGCGTTATTGTTAGCAGAGAAGCAACGTCTTCTGATTGGTTGTTTTCTTGCTGGAGGTTATTCTGTTATCTCTTTGTGACCGTTTCTTAGAAAGTTAAGCCATATATCTGCGAATCGTATTTCCACACGTTAAGTTTGCTGTGATTGGTTGATGCGTTCCTCAATGTTAAGCTTAATTATTGTTTTTTCTCATGACCCCGACTTGGGACGTAAACATTGACGTAAATGGTTGTCTAGCAGACAGCTCTCACCACCACAGTATTAATCAAGGCTTCAAACTGTCGACTTCACGTTTTTGCTTGCTTGTTGATAAGTTTCCCTTCTTTCTTTTTTTTCAATATTATAATAGGACACAGTCATACACATTTATTACTGGTATACAGATATCCAGTCAACCGATCTCTGTAACTGAACATGATTTAGTTCAATTCAAATCAGATCTTGGTCCACTTGCTAAAGAAAGATCACGTTTAGAGGGATTAGTTTTCACAGAGTTAACATTTGCGCTACGTTATCCTGAGAGTGAATTACGCAAAGAACATATGGATGCTTGGAATCTAGTGAGTGTTTCTTTTTTTTGAAAAAAATTTGGCGCCATTATGGATAATATTTTATTTTGAATTAGTCATACAGTAGTGATAACATAATTAAGAGAGAAGCTAAGGCATCTACAGTTTTACCATGATAAGGAGGTGACATCTGAAACCCTCGCTACTTAGGATTCTCAATAAAGCAGGAATTAGGGTGGCGGCATTCAAACTTACAAACTCACCCACTCAGGGACAAGCTCTGTAGACTAAAGGACCCGGTTGGTTGACGTGATTAAACAAAATCATATAATTTACAAAATACCTTGCAATGACCTGTGAGTTAGGTCAACTACATAGGTCAAACTCGTAGGTGGGGGGTTGTCAAATTGTCGGAATATAAGAATTCAGCTAAGGTAAGAATGGTTGACTCCGAGAAGATAAGTAATTTAGAAAAAAACTCATCAACTGCACTGCATACATGCATTAACTCATCACTACACTATAGGATGGGACGGAGTTAAAATTCTAAAATGTAATAAAGGTAGGTGAAGAGAGAGATTACTAAATCCTGGTTCATTGAGTCTACACCCAACACATGTAACAGAAGTGACTCAACGCAAATACCAGAGATATGGAAGATATTATTCCCACAAGTCAGACAAATCACAGGAGGATAATAAATAATCTTAAAATTCCATTTCAATTCACGTACATCATAACATTCTAACAAGTTACTTATTTTGACTAAAGCCATTCGTCTTATTTCCCATCTGATTGTATTTCATCAGTGACACTCATAATATCATTTCTGAATGTACATTACCCTATATTGATTTTTATTCAAATGTCTAATCATCAATTTCACTCATGTATATAAATGAAGCAAGAAAGTTGTGTGAGTGACTGACTTGATATAGTTATGAGCAGTAGTTTGTGCTCGAAACATGGTCATCAGTTAATATTACTGTACAACACTGTGTGTTTTATCAAAATAAAATCTTATCCATAATGGAGTTATACTCTACCATAGTGCCCAAGTTTTATACTTAAATCAAAATTTTTGGCGGTTGTAAGTTTTTATACCCCCTCGCCCTCAAGTTTACTGAACCCGTTTTCATAATATTGTGTAAATTCCAGCACGCATATATGAGTGCTACTCCTTTTAACGATCTAATGTTTGATCTAATAGTTTGTGCACACAAGGTTCATAGTTGTTATTTTTTTACTCTGATGATAGACTAACTCTCATCAAGCGATGAAATGTATATATTGAAATGTTAACTGGATATTCCCTTCTAGATCATTTGGTAGGACAATCAATATTACACCAGTATTTGATTGGTTGTATGATTTCTCTCTGTCAAGTGTCCGTAAGATTCCATTATGGATAGAATTTTTATTTTGATAAAGTCTCACACCGTGTAGTGTTGTTATACAGTAATATTTACTACTGATATGACCACAGCTTCGAGCACAATTCATTACTGCTACTCATAATCTTATCAAGGCAATACTCACACTACTTTATAACTTCATTTACCTGATCCCATTATTTCTCACCTCTTGATTTGATTGGTAGTAGTACTTTCCATGTTTCTCGTATGAGTGATCAGTCATTCCTATTCCAGGTCTTGGGTGTAGATTATTCGATGAACAAAGATTGAATAATCACCCTTTCTCTTCACCTATCTATATTACTTTCTAGAAATTTAACCCTCTCCCTCTTATGTTCTGTTCTTATGTTCAGTTATGCCTCACATCTACTATCTTTAAATTACAAGGCAAATATATATAGACAAACAGAAGGTGTAGCAATGGCATGGATCACCAATATTCCTTATAGTAGCAGGTATCTTTATGGACGGCTGGGAAAATATTGCTCATAATACAACATTTAATCCTACTTCAAAAATATGGTGGAGATATGTGGATGACACTTTCACACACAGTGTTAAAAACAGAACATATCTCTCTATAGCTTCTTCACACATGCAAACTCACTAGTAAAGGGAATAAAATTCACATTTGAATCAGAAAATGAACAAGGAGAAATAGCTATGATGTTAGACTGTAAAATAAAACGAATGGAAGAAGGTGAACTGCACACTAGCGGCGTTCATAAAAGGTCAACACATTCTGCTAATAGATATTTTAAGACTTTAATTCATCTCATCCGTTATATGTGAAGGCGCGTTTAGTTAAGTGTCTGTCTAACAAACTAAGCAATCGTACTAAGTAGTACAACAAAAAACTTGTATGATGAAATAAAACAGACAGAAGAGGCGTTGGTGCCATATAACTATCCTATAAAATTAATTAGGAAGATGAGAAAAGTTCAGAATCAGAATAAAAATAATGGTGAAACCAATAATGAAAACATAAATAAGAAAGAATATGAGACATACACATTTATACCATATAAGGAGGGGATTCTTCATAAAGCGGGAATCAGGGTGGTGGCATTTAAACCTAAAAACTCACTCAGGCAGGCAAGACAAGCTCTGTAGGCTGAAGGACCCTGTCGGTTGACCCAATTAAACAAAATAATATTATTTACAAAATACCTTGCAATGATTGTGAGGTCAACTATATAGGTCAAACTAGTAGATCAGGAGTAATGAGATATTCTATCAGAACTTATGAATTTAGCTAAGGTAAGAATGGTTGACGCCGAGAAGATAAGTAATTTAGAAAACAACTCAGCACTGCATTGCACTGCATGTATTAACACACAAACTGCACAATAGGGTGGGTCTATCTGTCTGTCTGTTTTCGACATTGAACTTTGCACCGATGTGCAACAGTTCGAGTCGCCACATTCCATGTAGCACACAAAGCAAGAGAAGAAAGTAGAAGAAATGAATAATAGAGACAGTAAACAGAGGTGTGAGACAAAGGAATAGTAATAATGAAGAACAAAACAGTTTCATTGGAAATCATAAGTCATAAGGAGTGGATGCATCAGTACCAGCCATTGAGAACGATTTTGAGCCATATCAGCAATTGTTTCCAGCAGTCATTGGTTTTTACCGTCCCGACGACCCCAACCAGGAAGTCTGCACCTTCCTACGTGGCTAGCTTAAACTAACTGTTGTGGATTTCATTGACTGATGAAGCCATGTTTTCGTTTGACCGCCGCTAGCTCTTTTCCAGCCTGACCCTATGTCAGCTTACATTGCCTGTCGAGGAAGGCGATTACTAGGCATACGTAACACATGTCCTAACTATCTCAGTCGATGTAGCTTCACAGCCTCGTCTATTGATTTCCCCTCCTTACCTAGCACTCGACCGACGCCTAACCTCAATATTGCTCACCCAATTATACCACTTAATACACACGGGTGATAGAACGCAGACACCTATGATCGAAGACAGCTAATCTTTTCATGTCTTCCACTTCCTTCGGCCAGATCTCAGTCACAGTCATAAAGGAGGATGGAAGGAAGTGCTGCTTAGCCGTACGCCAGAAACAGCGTAAACTGGCATATGCGAATCTAGCCCTCTGTATCCGTATTGAGATTTCGTCAGGGTGGGTGGGAGAGGGTTAAAATTCTAAAAAGTAATCTAGGCAGGTGGAGATAAAGAGAGGTTGATTACTGAATCCTTGTTCATCGAGTCTTTATACCCAACACATGCGCAATAGTAGAATGACTCATCACTCATACTGGAAATACAGAAAATACTACTACCAATCATCAAGTCAAGCGATGTAAAATTAATGGAATTATCTAAAAGAAGTTAGAAAGTTGTGTGAATAACTTCATATGAATATAAGTAGTAATAAATTGTGCTTAAAACGTGTGGTCATCAGTAGTAAATATTACTGTATAACACTACACTGTGTGAGACTTTATCAAAATAAAATTTTTCTCCATAACGGCATTATACTCTACCACAGTGGAGAAGTTCTGTTCTCATGGAAATACGACGGTTGTTGTTGTTGCTGTACCACTTTTGCAAATGATTTGTTGAGAAGGAGATTTGCTTTGCTGTTAATTCTCCTTTTTATTACAAGCGAGTGTTTTAATTACCTGAAGTACTTGTGATGACAACTTCTTTTTTTGTCTTTTCATCAGTTTGTCTTTGATAAATACAACTTGAAAAGAGTTTTGTAATAGTTCTGTTGCATATAGTAACTTGCAGTGACTGATTGCATGCCGTCTACTCTGACTTAGCCAGTTAACACGTAGCAGTCTAAGACTTCATGGGTAGATGTCATTTTTCCTTTTTTTTTACTTTACCGAACTCTTCTTCAAGTTGGTCGTATTACAGCTAACACGATCCGAGATAAGGAACTCAATCCTGATCGATAAAGCTGCATAACGTGATCTTTTTAGCAACTTCCAGCTCATAGAAGACAACCAAAATAAAAAGCTTCCCATCCTTTCCTAACACACTGTCTCCTTTAAAAGAAATTAGTTTATTCCTTAGCGTTCCCAGGGGAACATAGGGGGCTTCAAGGTTCAGCTTTGAAGTTTAAGTAGCAATGGTGCTTTTGATTTCTTTACTAGGTAAGGTGGTTGCTGGCTTCACGCCCAACCTTCCCTTTCTATCGCGCTTACTGTCGACTAAACTAGATGTAAAGGAGTGCGTTGGCTGGGGCTCGGACCCCGGGCCAATTGCGTGGTTGGTCGATGTTCTACCACTGAAACATTACTAACTAGTATAAGTTTCGAGATTGTAGATGTTGAGCGACGTGTCAGATTGAATCATTATAAATTATTTAAAATAATTAGTATTACTATAGGACAAAATGCTGTTTGGTGCAATCAAAAGTCCACAGATACCCTTCTCATGTTAACTCCAACTTTGTATACAAATTTACGTGTATCTGCGGGAGCAGTTACATTGGGAACACAGAAAGAAGAAGGGCATACACACCACCGATTTTCTGAACATGTACCAAAAAGCCTACGTTTCCAGTGGGGGGAGGGGACCAAAGGTTTTCAACAGTGCCATTGCCAGGCATCTCCTTGCCACACGGGTCATGAGGTGGACGTCACAAGATTCTTCAAAATTATCAATAGGTA